GTGAGAGTGAGAGTGAGAGTGAGAGTGAGAGTGAGAGTGAGAGTGAGCCAATGCGACTCCGAACCGGCAAGAATTATGGAAATCACAATGGCGGTAGTGCACAGACACAGGGTGCGCACATCCTGGCCGCAGCCATTACAATGAGATTCGCACCCTGTCACAGCCATTGCTTTGCAAATCACAATGGCAGTAACGCACAGAACCGCCGGGGGCCCAGCGGCGACCACGCGCGCCACAGCCCCTTCTGCAGTCTCTGGGTACTGCGCCTGCCACTGCTTTGCAAATCACAATGGCAGTAACGCAGAGAACCGCGGGGGGGCCCAGCGGCGACCACGCGCGCCGCAGCCCCTTCTGCAGTCTCTGGGTACTGCGCCTGCCACTGCAGGGTGCGCACATCCTGGCCGCAGCCATTACAATGCGATTCGCAGCCTGTCACAGCCATTGCTTTGCAAATCACAATGGCAGTAACGCACAGAACTGCCGGGGGCCCAGCGGCGACCACGCGCGCCGCAGCCCCTTCTGCAGTCTCTGGGTACTGCGCCTGCCACTGCAGAGAGCGAGGGGGGCCCAGCGGCGACCACGCGCGCCGCAGGCCCTTCTGCAGTCTCTGGACACTGCGCCGCAGCCCCTTCTGCAGTCTCTGGACACTGCGGAGAGAGCCGGAGTCAGTGATGGAGTGAGTGAGTGAGTGAGTGAGTGAGTGGAGTGAGTGAGTGGAGTGAGTGAGTGAGGGAGTGAGTGGTGAGATCTTGTGTTGTGTCAGTGAGTGAGTGAGTGATGTGAAGCGTGATGTGAAGCATGAGTGAGTGAGTGAGTGAGTCAGTGAGTGAGTGCGTGACTGAGGAGGGGGCGAGGAGGACGGAAGGAAGGAAGGACCGGCGGATGCGGGCGGGATGCCAGCCAACAAAACTAGAACCCCACACAGAGATGTGGGGAAAAAGAAGGAAAAAGAAAGGCTTTATTTACACAAAGGACATCGCTACTAATAGCAAGGAGGCTTCTAGTAACCTCTTGGCGTTCTTTTTCCCCCGCGACATCTGGTGGCCACGGTCGGTGACCGTCCACTGCCTGCGTCCCGGTGACACATCATGACATGAGCCCCTCGGATGAAATGACATCAGTGACTTTTCCCAATGAAATCCCTTTTCACCAGTGGGAACAACCAGGATCCACAACCAGCCAGCCGGATTGGTTGACCTTCCTGATCGTGCGCACTGGAGCTTGGAGAACAATGTGAATAGGCTTCTGGATGCAATGAACCAAGGTTCACTTCACTGTGCCCTGTGCAGGGCACCATGTCCCTGCTACCCACCTACAGCTGGAATTTTTGGGTTCTCCACAACGAACACTTGGGTGAGAACTACTGCAAAATCGATCACCTGGTCAAAGGTCCGATCAACGTCTGCATAGAATCTGTGTCACCAGCCATCTCATCGCTATTGACCCTCCCTCTTCCCATCTCGAAGGTGCAAAGATGAGAGAATTGAATTCGCTTTTCTTATTGTCCGCGAGGGACTTCACCATCCTCCAGCAAAAGAGTCTGCCAAGGGCTTTGGAAAAAGAGCAACAAAACCAATTTCCAAAGGATCCGGAGGACCCGGAGTCCAACTCAGAGATTGACTGCGATTTGCAGTGAATTCGCCTGTCAAAGAATGGGTCTTTGCGTCTTTGCTGAACCTCTGTAGAAATCATCAACAGCAAGCAAACTGACAAGCTGCTACCAGCCAGTAACATCTTGCTTTTCACATCTTAAGCTTTCACGATCAACGGCTGGAAACTTCTTTGCCGGAATAATCGTTCATTTCTACACCCCCACGGAGTGTAATCCGCCCTTCTCTACCAGCCTCAGGCCATTCCAGCCTTCTGTGACCGGACATGCATCGTCAGCTCTTGGACTGTTACGAGCTGCAGGACGACGTCACACGAGGTGGGCATCGGATTCGGGCGAGCGAACCGAATCCACCGTTGATGCACCGCGGTGGCTCATCACAGAGAAACACACCTGTCAGCATCGGAGTAGCCTTCCAGCAAGGCAAGAGCTTCTGAGTCATGAACCTAAGATGGGGATTCGCATCGCAGAAGACAGAGCACATATGTGTTCAGAATTAAAGGTATTCTTGTGACTGTGCATAGAGATCACCAGTTGAGTCTCATCTTGCTTGCGTGCCAGGCTGCACACTGCTCGAAGACAGTGAGAACACCTGTGATCCATGTCAAGCATGGTGAGAAGAAACTTTTTTCAGCAAAAGCACTTCTGAACGCCTGTAAGATTTCTTTTAGATGAGTCATAGGTGATCCCTAGAATGGTATTCCCAAGCACCGTGAGAACTTCTCAGCTTGATCAATCCTTTTCTAGGTGACTCAATGAGGGCCGGAACGCTCGAGCTGAATGGATCTTGCCAAAGAAAAAGGAGCTAAACATAGAGGAAAAAGAGAAGACACTCGCAAGAGCAACCTTCAACAACCATCATGGAGGGCATCCATCATCTGGGTTCGGACACACGATCAACAAGGGTTTCAGAGGATCAACAGTTTGTCAATTTATAAAATGCTTTACAAGCACATATACAAGGTTGGTGCAATTGAACAAGCAAGAGAAATACTACGTGACAAATTGGAAAAAACATTAACCAAACACCCAAAACTCGCCTCACAAACGCCACGGTCTGGTCAACAATCTTGAGCCGTCGCCTGTTGCAGTGTAAGGTCACATTCAGGGTTTCCCCTAGTTTTGCGCTGAACAACTTGCCCTGCCTCAATTGACTTGTGGGCAGCTGCAGCATGTGAAGCACCATTCAACGGCCTCCGGGTCATGAGAACCTAAAGAAAATGTTGGCATATGTTGGCATCGATGTGCCCTGCAACAAAACAGAACTCACAAAGGGGCGCATTCAGATAAATGCCTCGCAAAGGTCTTCTCAGAATCGAAGCGCTTTCCGTTTGTGCCGCGCGGCCTGGCGTGTTCAAACAGGGAGCCAAATGAGAATGTAAAAGATCTTTTTATGTTCAACTCTCGCTTTTTGGCTTCAACGAAGTCGTCCACGGACGTATCTCGGATCGAGTGAGAAACATACCGAAGCATACCGAAACCATCGTGAGTCCTCATGCAAATCGTGGTGTGGACATGGGCATACAGTGCCATCCCATAAACGGGTGATGGCGAACGAAGCATTCGGCCCAAAACATGGCTACTAGGAACAAGCGCATCGCTACTAGTAACAAGTGCCTTACTAGTAGTAACAAGAAGCTATTAGGAACAATAAGCTACTAGTAGTGTTTTGGCCCAAAACCGCAACCCATGGACCCATGGCCTGACTGTGAACCGCCTCCACGCATTCGTCAATCAGTTGGTCGCGATAGGCCCTCCGCTGTTGCCTCGTTGCAAGATCGGGCCTGGGTCCCAGTGGCGTTGTCCTAGGAATGGCCCAGTCGAGGTATTGCAGTTCCACCGCCATGGCTCCGAGGCCACTTGTTTTGGGATAATACAGCATAAATCAACATGTCCGCTTCTGTTCGCTCATTCAGCAACATTGATCAACATTGTGTAGACTAGTAGTGACACACATCAATCATGAAGACTTGCATTCTGTGCGGGAGCACATGCAATCATCATAGCGTGGCATAGAGGAGCTGCTTGAAGCCAGCGCTAGACGAAAGGTGTTTCGGAATCTATCCTGGAGTCCAATCAAGTGATTGGGGCATACGATTTCAACATTAGGATTTTTCCTACAAATTGTAGCAAGAAACTAGTAGGTTGGAGGCCATCGCTACTAGTAGCAAGAATTACATTCCAAACTGGTAGCTTATTGCAACAGCGGCACAGCTTTTCGAGGCACGTTTCAGGGCAATCAACATACACACAAACCCCCCTCAAGCAGTTGCCCAGGCAATGCTGTTCCCACTTTTTGCCTTGAAGAGCGCCGACAGACTTGTGACATTTTAGCCACTAGCCCTTTGCTGGCACCATCACGCTCAACTCAGATCGCTTCTTGCTGAACCTTGGACCGAAAAAGGGTTACAGTCAACGGACGTTTACGCGTCGCGCCAAACACAAACGGATCTGACAGAAGCGCTGCTGCGCTCCACTCAAAGGCGCCATTTTGGACTATCTCTCGGATTGCATTGGCAACTGTGTAAACTTCATCTTCTGTGTTGTAGTATGAGGGGCTCAAGCGAAGAGTGGAAGGACGAGCCCATTCTTGCTCGTTGAACGTGTGAAATGGTGGTGCCACCGAGGACGTAATGCGTCGTTGGGCCAAGACATCCTTGATGAACTCCGATGCAATTCCCAGTTGAGATGCCTGTGGAAGGAAGCAAGGAAGCGACAACTTCCAACCAGCAATCGCCAACCTACTAGCGATGGCCTCCAACCTACTAGCGATGGCCTCCAACCTACTAGGGATGGCCTCCAACCTACTAGCGATGACATCCAACCTACTAGCCGTGGCCTCCAACCTACTAGGGATGGCCTCCAACCTACTGGGCATGGCCTCCAGCCTACTAGCAATATCTAGCACTGGTCTCCAACCTAATAGCGATGGCCTCCAACAAGTATGAGTTGGGGTTCTGTTTGAATTTCTCTTGAGATCAAGAGTGTAATGGTGGATTCAAAAAGCAATACATTTTGGATGGTAAAAGGTGCCTTCCAAAAGCGTCAGTTGAAGGGTTGAAGGGCATTCCAAAAATCTGATCTTCAGCCGCAACCCTTGTAAAGCCTTGTAACTCTAAACTTGCCCATTTGCCAGGTCAAGTTTTAATGCCGGTTTCTCTTGCTATAAGACGCGTGCATTATGCAGCCTGCAAATGAGTTTGGCTTTGGTTTGTGCCACAGCTCCCTGCTTTCTGAGCTGAACTCAACTTCATTCATTGAACTCGTTCTTTCTTTCACGTTTCTCGTTACTAGCTTTGCTAGCTCCTGCCTCAAAGGTCACAATCGCACACCGCTGACCTGCGAATTCTTCAGGTGCATCCCGAATGCGAAGACCTGGAATTTGTCGAAGGTTTTGCCGTAACAATTCTGCTAAGAAACTGGACCGCTTCCAAATGCGATAGGGTTCAATGCTTTTGCAAACATCAATGGCTGCGGCCAAGCCGGCGTGCAATGCAGGTGAAGATTCCCACATTTCAAAGCGTCGGGCCCCGGGTGACAGTTGATATGTCTCTGAGGAAGTCCATGACACTGCAACGTGATCAATCATCAAAGGCTCACCCACAAGCTTGTACACACTATCTGAATGCTCCAATCTTCCATCCTTGCTCATGGGCAGAGCGCTTTTGCGAGCATACAAAATCCCAGTACCTCTTGGACCACGGAGCCACTTGCGACCCGTACCACAAGCGAAATCGCAATTTAAACTTCGGACGTCCACAGGCAACTGACCAATGGACTGACAAGTGTCAAGCAAGAAAATCGCATTAAATCTCTTTGCAATTTCACCCACCCTGGCAGCGGGCTGAATGATGGACGAGTTTGTTTGCACATGGGTTAGGGCCACCACAGAGCGGGAAGAGCTGGGTGACTCCAATTCGCGACAAAGGCTTTGAACATCCACTGTCCCATCAGCTTGCATTGGCAAAATCTTCAGCTGAGCTCCTTTTTTCTTTGCCTGCAAAAATGCCACAGCGTTTCCTGCATATTCGCTGGCCCAACAAAAAATACGATCTCCTGGTCGAAAGTCTAAGCAGCCGAAGGCTTTAGCCCAAGCGCTTTGAGCCGATTCAGTCAACGCAATTTCCTCGGCATCGCAGCCCAAAAGCTCTGCTGCTGCTTGCCTTGCATCTCGGCCATGCTGCCGGTACCGTGCTTCTGCCTCATAACCTTCAAAGTGCAACACACACACATACTCAAACGCACACATCCAAGACCTTTTCAAACAAAATCACATGTTTTTCTTCTCAACTAAAACGCTGTGTTCCTTCCATGCTTTTTTGCGCTCCGCATCGCTCTGTCGCACTTGCTGCCCAGCCTCCTAGCTCGCGCTCTTGCTGCAACATCTTGCTGGTGGCATCATGGACCTCCTGAGACGCGGGAGATGCTCCTGCTGCATTCATGTGAAGCCATCCACCGGAGCTCCAGTCTTTCAAGCCTTTTCGCCACTGTTGCAGTTCGACTGGATGAACTGAGGGACTGGAGAAAGCACGGAAGTGGAAGCGAAGGCAAAATCCATAGCAGCCATGGCAAAGCATGTCGCCTTGATTCAGAATGTTCAACTGTACAAGCGTAGCGGTGATCAAAAAAGGACTTTAGTCTCTTGTTCCGATGTGACATCGTTTAGCCTGAAGCATTTAGATCCGAAGTGAAGACTTTTCTTTCATCTTTCCGTCTTCCCCAAACAACTCGAGAGAGTTGAAACAAGTTTTTCTTCGGCGAATGCCTTTGCTCGATAACCCCTGTGGTCCTCAAGCCACACACACATCCGTGTTGCAAGCAGGTCCAAAGGTCCGGTCAAAAGAAACTACTAGAAACAAAGGGCGTCGCTACTAGGAGCAAGGATGCTATTAGTAGCTCCAGGCCTTACTAATAGTAACAAGGATGCTATTAGGTGGAGGCCATCGCAAGTAGGTTGGAGGCCATCGCTACTCGTAGCAAGATGCTATCAGTTCCAATATGGAGAAAGACTAGACGACGGATGACCAGAGAAAACGTCACTAAAAGAGCACCAGAAAAATCGTATGAGGGTGGAGGCCATATCGCTCTTAGGTTTCTGAAAGGGAACAGGGAAACGAAGCTGCAGAAACAAAATGAACAGACAGCTACTGAGTGTTGCAACTAGTATGCCTGTCCGGTCGCAAGTGTTGCATTTCTTGGGGCTCTGACTTGGCGCGAGCGGCAGCCGGCTCAATCAGCACCTCACATGCTCAAACAACAAATTGAACACAAAATTGGCATTTCCGTAAAAAGTAAGGACTAAAACATTTTAGACCTTTTAGCCATTTTGTACCTTTTAGCTCTGTAGTTGCAAGGGGCAACAGCAACTGAAAGAAGCTGCTGCCTTGTGCAATACAGTATCTGAAACAACGGAGGAAAAAAGAAGAACTAGAAATACAATAATGAAAAGAAATGCTTCCTTTATTCTACAACTGCTATCTGAACTTTATTGTCAATGCTTCTTCCTGCCTTTTTACACTCCCTCTCCGTCTCCCTATCTCTCTGTCTGGGGGCAAAACTGGAAACGGACCTGCATTTACTGCGTAGCGTGGCGCTGGTTCCTGCAATAGTTTTGCTCATTGTTGCATCTTCTGCCACATTGAGGTGAAGACAAAGTTAAAGCCGGTGCAATCCAAGAAGCCACTGTGTTGAGACGTACGTGCTTCTCTGCAATGTCCAGGACCTGGTCTTGTCAAAACCACACAGAGTGAAACCACTCCAATCCGCTGTCTTTCTAGATTTTCTGTCAGCATTAGGACGCTACTAGTTACTAGGAGCAAAGGGCATTGCTACTAGGAACAAAAAGCGACTAGGGGCTCCTGGCTTTACTACTAGGAGCAAGGACGCCGCTAGGAGCAAAGGTGCATGCACCTTTTACCGATTTGCAGACCATCCAAGTTCACAGTCCAATTTGGTAACCCCTGCGTTTCAGGAGCGTACGATGCAACCCATTTCCTGCACTCCAGGCAATTCGCACACAAGCTCCATGGCCTCACAGAGGTTTCTACAACAAAACCATGGGCGAAAACACAACCTAACAGCGATGGAAACCAATGGGCTCCTAGTCGATTTAGAGTACAGCCGAGGCCACGGCACAATAGTTACCTTGTTCGTCTTTCCGGTATTGCAAACGATGATTCGGAAGAATCACCTGTTGGGCTTCCGGATGGAACAAGTTCACGAAAGTCGTAGCTAGAGGTAAGTAGCTACTATGCAAAGGGCATCGCTACTAGAAACAGGTGCCTTACTACTAGTAACAAGTTACGAATTTAATTGGAATTCTAATTACCAGTAAGGCACTTACTACTAGCGATGCACTTGTAATGACTAGAAAATAAAATCCTCCTGGGACCTTTTCGCGCGCGCGCGCGGGGGGGGTAGGACGCTACTACGAGCAAAGGGCATCCATCGCTACTAGGAACAAGGACGCTACTAGGGGCTCCTGGCCTCAGTAGTAAGAATGCTCCTAGTAGCGATGCCAGGAGCCCCTAGTAGCGTCCTTTGTCGATTCCATTAAAGCGCATCTCGACACTAGAATGGATCAACCAATGCATAAGTGCTGCACAGTCAAGAAGACACGTGACTGCTTTGCCTCTGGAGTTTTCTCTGGGGTTTTGGATGCCGCTTTTGGAACCTTTGCTGGAGCTTCACCGCACAGGCCTCCAGTGCAACATAACTCCCGGAATCTGCGAAGATAGTGCAAGAAGCTATTCACTTTTTCTGGAGGCCATCGCTATTGGGTTGGAGGCCATTACTATTAGTTTGCATAGCGCTGGAGTCAACAAACTATGAACTTCTTTTGGCTACTTCTTGGCACCTACGCGAAGACCTCTTGAACTGAATCCCACACGTGTCAATTCAGACTGCACGCTGGCCACTTTGCAGTTTTTATGCAAGCTAGTAGGTTGGAGGCCATCGCTATTAGTTTACATGGTTCAACATCTTTCTATTGGGTTTAACCATTTTAGGGGCATGGACATGTCGTCTGAGGCGCTGGCGCTTGTGAAGCTCTTCGGCTTCCTTCGCAGCTGACTCGGCTCCTGTGAGCCTAGGCTCTGTGCAACCTGAAATTGTTTTCTTTAATTTTATCTTGATTTTATTCTGTTGGAGGCCATTGCTATGAGGTTGGAAGCCATTGCTATTAGGTTGAAGGCCATCGCTATTGGGGACCTTTAGACATTTCAACATGTTTTCTTTCATTTTCTCTTCTTGTTATTCTCTAGACCTTTAGACCTTTCTTTCTTAGATTTTGGCTTGTTCCCAGTTTCTCTTTGTGCTTTGCTCTCTTTCTTCAACAAAGTGGACAAAGGCTATCTGAGTACTTTGCTTCTGCGAATGTTCACCTGACATGAAAAGAGTGTCGTCATTGTCATCCAAAAGGCCAGGGCTAGGAGAAACTTGCTCGTGATTATACATAATGGTACCAGTAGCTGCACTTGTTACTGGCAGCTTCTTGTCACTAGCAGTACTGCCCTTGTTACTAGTAGCGATGCACTTGTTACTAGTCGTAATGCACTAGTAGCGATTATACATAATGGTATGGCATAGCCAGTTCTTTTTCGTGATCAATTCTTTCGGCTGATCCTGGAGTAAAAAGAACTGTCATAGTGGATCATTTAGAACTTCTTCTTAAAAGATGCCCCCCCCCGTACGTCTTCTTCCGACTGTAAGTTTCAACCCAAAAAACGTACTAACGATCTTTTGTGGAGAATATGAAGATTGTTGACCAATGCAACTCACCATGCTTTGCTGCATTTTACTGCACATAGATGCAGCCAAAAAAAGTCATTCCACATTTTGTCTTCCGGTCAGTACAAGGTAAATATTGCTGAAAGAAAGCCACACATTGACCCGGTCGCTGACATCATTTTTATATTTCTCAAGCCACCTTCTTGACCAATGTGGAAATCAAACATGAGAGAAACAAGGGTGGTCCTGGGCTGACGCCCTTTTACCACGATGACGTTGATTCTCAGGCTATTCATGACTAGGACATCACTACTAGGAGCGGTCGGACGCTACTAGGGGCTCCTGGCCAAACTACTAGGAACAAGGATGCTACTAGTAACAAAGGGCATCGCTACGAACGGTGCAAGGAAACTACTAACTAGTAGCTCCTGCCTGGATCACCGGCTCGTTCCACCAATTTTGACATCATTGTCTCCATGTGAGAAGGATCGGTCAGCATCCTAGCCGCGCAACAAGTCGATATGATGGACATCCTAGTTACTAATAGCTTCTTGCTACTAGTAGCATCCTTGTTCCTAGTAGGTAGCGTCATTGCTCCTAGTAGCGATGCCAGGAGCCCCTAATAGTTTCTTGTTACTGAGTGCAACGTAACAGCATCTTGCGTGCGCTAAATGGGTTTGGTGACAAAGATTGAAGTTGTCCAAATCAAGGTTTATTCCCCAGATAGCGAAGCTGTGGGGTTCTTACTTCAAATAACAATGAGTTGCCTGTGCGCGCTTTCCAGACAGTGGGTGCCAGTGCTGGTGCTGGTGCTGTGCGCCGGCTGTGCACGTGGTGGAGACAGGTTGCTGGTGCTGGTGCCGGGTGCCGGTGCTGGTGCCCGCTTCTGACAGTGAAGTGATAACAACCGCCGCTTCTGACAGCGAAGGGTAACAAACCGCCGCTTGCAGCAGTGAAGGGCGACCAAGCGCCGCTTCTGACAATAAGTGCCAGCAGTCATGGGCCGCATTAACTTATGCACGCAACATCATACGGTGTTGTCGCTTGAGTGTTCTTTGTGTATTAGCGCTGTGGGGGCGGCAGCTCTGTCACTGTTTGCGCGCATACTTTTCTACGTATAATGTTCTATGCACAACGTCAGGCTCTCAACCGACCATTGTTCCAGCATTTTCAGCATGCTACACACACAATAGTCGTGCTAGATACTGCTTGGCCTTGGGCGAGTGAAGCCTATTGCGCGCATACTTTTGTGCGCATAAACTTTTACGCGCAAGGTCATACGGCCATATCGTCCTGCAGATCGTTGCTTCAAGCGTGCTAGAAAATCAATAGTGGCGCTGGATACTGCTTGGCCTTGGGCCAATGACACTTACGGGCTTTGCTGTTTGCACGCATACTTTTGTGTGCATAAACATATATGCGCAAGATCATACGTTGTTATCCCCCAGGTTCTTGCTTCTCCTCCCTTGCTGCAAATAAGAATGAGCTGGCTGCGCTTTCGAAAGGGTGTCGGTGCTGGTCCTGGGTGCTGGTGCTGTGAGCTGGCAGCTGGCTGAGCATGCGTTTAAGACGAGGAGGTGCCACAAGCTGGCTGTGCAGGCTGCGTGCATTCTTGCTCCAGCCAGTCGCATGTCAACAGGTCGTGGGATTCTGCCTAGCTATCTGGGTCTATGCTGGTGTAATTTATGCTGGAGCACCCATTGAGATGCTGCAAGAGTAAATAGAACTGCTCAAGCAATTTTTGGCCATGTGTCTCTGTGTCTGCCAACTCTTGTCCCGTCCAGTCCTCTGAATATCTTCATTCGTCATCCCCTCCTCTCACTACTAGCACAAAGTGACACTAGAAACACATCTGAGGCTCTTAGTCACTCACAAGTTTCTTCTCCTTTTGC